CAGAAGATCACACTACTTGGAACATCTTACATCCTATTAGAAAGGCACTCTACATCAAATAGACTTCTACCTCATTCTAACCCTAGGCCCAAGAAGTGGGCTCCGCTATTATGTTGTATTATGGAATTACATTAAAGAAGATGACAATTGGGAGTTAAAGCAGAAGTACCAAGGATTTGAAGTGAAACAATATTTATCATATCATAATGGACGTGTTACGGGGATGGTGCCGAGACTTAGACCCTGTTTACATGGAGTGGGGGACCCCGGTCTAGTGGGGTAAGTTTCTTTTGTTTTGTGTCCCACAGAGCGTGAAAACAAAAGAAACCAACCCCACTAGACCGGGCTCCCCCACTCCATGTAAACAGGCCCTTAGAAGTCAAGCTGAAGGAGTTGATCGGAAGTAAGAGTAAGGGAGTTCTTTGTAACATGCAGTCGGCTGTACTCTCGGGAACACTAAACATCTCTAGAACTTTTGAAGTTGCAACATGAACAATGAATATCGCTTTCGAAATTAATGACTCTCTTCCTTCAACATCATTTGGACTTTTAAAGTTATAAAGTAATCGTCAATGAATTTTTTTACATCCGAATACGTAATATATTTAGGAGAACTGTAAAGACTTTATAATTACCATTTTAGATTCTAGATATCTTAAATAGTTCTATCATTTTTTGTTTTTTTATTTTTTTGGATATATTTTTAAATTTTAAATTTATATTGTTATACTAAGTTCTCACTATAGTTAACGGGTTTCGCTCACACGCCCCGTCACACTATTTTATCTGTATATAGCGTACAAAACTTTTAAACTGCTGTATAAAAATAATAATAATCATCATCATCATCATCATTAATATTATTAATAAAAAGAATATGTTTACCATTTACAGCTTCCAGAATGATAATTTGAAGGAGACAGACGCCAAATTGTTGTTACTGGAAATATCTCCATGTCATAATTATTCTTCAGTAGAATGAATCGTCTACTCGAAAATTTGTGCAATTTCATGTTTGGTTTTGGCTCCATTTATATTGATATCAAAATTAATGTTACTTTGTGTGCGACTCTCCCTAATTTCACTGCTTACTGTGAATTGCGATGGTTTATTTATTTTCGTTAATAGACAATCCTGCCTGTATTCGTGTGGGAGCTCCACTTTAGGTTTGCTTCAATCTGTGAATTTAAAATGGTGCATTAAGCGTATACCGGACTGTTGGTGAAAATATTTTGGAAAGAGAGAATTAGCTAAAAAAAAACTTTTGACTGCCGACAGGTGCTTGCGATTTACACAAACCACCCGAGTGGAAATCTTGTGCATGAACATAAAACTGTAAAATTTGACATAATGGAAGAGCGACCCGTTACAGATTCAATTACATCCAAATCAGCTGAACAGACTAAAAATAGTACAAAATGGTATCGCCTCGTATCATAACTGCCCATGTTTTCCGTAGCTTTGCAAACGGAATGGCGCGAACCATTTGATTTTGCATGAACCGAAATTCCCAGTTTTTCCATGTAATATGAGTACTTACCCAAAGTTTCTTTTCTTCCTCTCTTTCCTACTTTTTCTGAAACAGGTGCTGTGAGGATTGGAAATGCCGATAAAAATGTGTACACAAGCTTATCTAACAGTCGATAAACCTTTGTTAAGACTATTACTGCAGATTTTATGAAGATGTTCCTTGTTTACTAGTATGAGACCAAAGATTACGAGAAACAAAAAGAGGTGAAACGTTCGCCGCTGCGTTAAGTTAAAATGTGGACAGAAAAAAAAAAAAAAAGAAAACTAACGTGAAAAACTGCATGCACCAGAGAAAACGTCAAAAGCAGCCGTACATAACAAACATGATTAGTCATGGACTGAGCAGTTATCAAAATTGAATTAAACCTTTTGTAGTACATTCAATTCGTTGCGACTATGAATTCTTTTGATGGGCAAAATGCTATTTTCCCAAGGAATTTTTAGGACCAGCTATTTTAAGTCTTATATCTGCTGCGATGACTATTAAAAGCACTGTGAAATAATCAGTAACAACGA